TTCTCCTTACTTTTTCAAAGTAAGGGAGATGAGCATATTTTGCAGACAATGAGGAAAGAACCAATGGAGAGTTTGGAGGTTGTAGAGAAAGGAAATAACTGACAACAATGTCCTAGATGTCACAGGAGGGGTTACGATCAAGGGTGTTTACAGAGAATTTAGCCTTAAAAAGGCTAAAGGAAAACCCTTTCCTCTATGGTGAGTAAGTAAGAAAAGTTGAATGATAATACAGAGAAATTCTGAAGAGATGAAGAGCTCAGAGGAGTTTGGCTCTCCATACACATAGGAAAGATGAAATGATTAGATGTCTATTGCCCAGATTTCAACATGTGTCTGAGCTGACCCTCTTGTCTAAAAGTATACACATCCGGAACACACTTTCCAGATAGAAAATGAGCTGAAAAGGAAGAGGAAGGTAGACTAGATTGTTTTGGTAAATTGTAAAACACTTTTGCTGACACCAAACTTCCCATAACAGTAAAGGTCTATTCAGGGGTGGGAAGCCTTTGACCTCAAGGCCACATGTGGCCCTCCAAGTCCTCAAGTTCAGCCCTTTGACTGAATCCAAACTTCACAAAACAAATCCCCTTAATAAAAGGATTTGTTCTGTAAAACTTGGCTCAATCAAAGGGCCTCATCCAAGGGTTCCCCACCTCTGGCATATATATCTTCAACACATTTTGCCAGTGTTGATGTATGACAATGACACCTGAAACACTTGTCAAAAACTAAAGATGAAAAAAATAAATAAAATGGTGTAAAAACCAAAAAAAAAAAACAACTAAAGATAAGCACCATACAGAGTGCAATGGTGTGGTAGACATAAGCATATATCCAACAAGGAACTCTGAAGAACAGGAGTAAAGGATGCTCATTTCCCAACATCTGTTCAGCTTGGTTTCAAATCTAGGAACATCAGGCTTTGCTCAAGATAAACTCAAGACCTGAAATGTCATCTTCATGCAGACTGACACAGCTTTTGATACTCAACACCTTCTCAGCACCCTCTCCTTTAAGACTAAGGGGCTGAGTGGGCAGTTATGTAACTCAGTGGATAGAGCTCTGTCCCTGGAGTCAGGAGGACCTGAGTTCAAATCTGATTTCAGACCAGATACTTGACACTTATTAGCTGTGTGACCCTGGGCAAGTCACTTAACCCTGATTGCATCACCAAAAAAAAAAAAAAAAAAGAGTAAGGGGCTAAGCAACTTTTCAGTTAACTCTTCATTTCCCACCAGATGTTCTGCTTGGTTTCCACTCTATGAATATGAATGTGCAGCCCTCCCCCTTTTCAGTTTTCGTTTGTGTATTATTTTCCTCCATTAAGTTTTAAGTTCCTTAGGATTGTCTTTATCTATTTGTATTCCCAGCTTAGCACAATACATCCACAGAGTAGGCACTTAACAAATATTTATTGACTATTGGCAAAGGATATGAGAAGACATTATAATGGCAAATAGATGGCTAAAGTGTTACACTGGTTAGCCTCATGCCACAGGGAGGAATGAGGAAGATATCTAGCTCATTAGGTGAACACCCTACCTCAAACTTTCAGAAAGACTTGATTGGATTTTGATAATACATTGGTGGAAGGAACTCCTGAATTAATTAGATTACAGATCTATCTGGGAGGAGCTCAAGCAAGATACCCTTGATCATCTCAGTAAAGTAGGAAGCAAGTTTATAAGTGTGAGAAAGGTGGGAGGGCAGATTGGAGAAAAAAAAGAAATATAAAAAGGTATGGAATAGTCTCTGTTACAAGTTAACAAGAGGTAAATAAAAGTATAAGCAACAGCAGTAACTGTCCAGTTGGACAGTAGCATGAATCTGTAGGGGACCTAGTCAGCCATTTTTTAACTATAAAGTATTACTTGGCAGTACATATTTGAGAGTTGAGAAATCAAACAGAAAGAATCCAGGACTGGCGTTTAGCATGGGGTACTGGTGGAAGGTCAAGGAAGTAAAGGATTCTAGGATGCTAGACAGGACTGCATCGAAATGGCAACTCTACCTTCTAGAGGACAAGTGGAGCCAGCTGGGGACTGATCGACTGGAAGAATAGTAATACACTGTCAAAGGAAAAGAGGTCACAAAGAAAGCTAAAAGCAATTTCAGTTCCATGAAAAAGTGGGACATGAAGGGTAAACCAGATTATGGTCAGAAAGGAGAAGACAGCAGAGGTTAGAGGTAGAGCAGTTCTGAGTATCAAGATGAAGTCTCCAACATGTGGCCAAAATGGTTGAAGTAGAATAGTGACAGAAACCACAGGAGTAGAAGAATTTTGAAGTCAGGGGATGGATGGGTAACTAACATAGATGCTAAGTAAGGATAACAGCAAGAGACAGGGTAGAGAGGAAAACTTGAAGTCACAAAAGGTAGGTAGAAGAGTAGCATAGAAATTAATAATACCATCTTTTCTAGTTCTCCAGGAAGCTGACTTTGGACTTCAAAAGAAACTTTTGAGGGGAGAAAGGAAAGCTAAGGCAAAGACTGGGAGGAGAATTCATCCTTGTGGGACATTCCCTCTGCTGAATCAGAGGTAGAACTCATAGTCTCAAAAAGTTGCCTTGAGGCAGCTGGTGGAGCTCTGGGCCTGGAGTCAGGAAGACCCAAGTTCAAATCTGACCTCAGACACTTACTAGTTATATTACCCTAGGCAAGTCACTTAACCTCTGTTTGCCTCAATCAACTGGAATTGGCAAACCACTCCAGTATCTTTGCCAAGAAAAGTCCATGGGCACTATGGTCCATTGGGTCATGAAGAATCAGACTCAACTGAACAAAAACTGAGAGTGAGTTGACCCATATCACAAAGTCAGGCAGGATTTAAACCCATGTCTCTCAAACTCCAAAGCCCAGACCCTTAGCCTTTATACAACACAGCTCTCTCTTAGCAATAGTTAAATTGACAAATATTTTGTTTCCAAATTGGCACCCTTTTAGATTTTTTTTTTTATGTTTACTTAGAGGGCATTTCCCAGGGGTAGGAGGGATGGTAAATCATACAGAATGCTCCTCCCCACACCACAGTCCCTCATTTATATAAATACATATGGGCTAAAATGAATATCGGTGGTAAGATGGTAAGATGGTGATGGTAATTCACTTAAATCCATATACTACAAAGCTGTGAGGCAGGTAAGAATTTTTCCCAATTTACAAAGTAGGTAATACAAGTTCAGCAAGGTCATACTAGATCCCAGTTCTTCTAACGCTCTTTCCACTACACAATCTGCCTCGAGACAGAAGTCATAAAAGATAAACCTAAGAATTTTGTGAAGAAATGAGGAAGGGCAGAACCACCTGTTTTGCTTAAGTTAAGATGAGGAGTTTATTATGGGTTAATTATGTGGATTTGAGCTCTGTAAGTTTTTTGTAGTATTAAATTGTTGAGTCTAATTCCCATGTCCTCTCCCTACTCTCTCTCCTCCTCTAGCGTCTTCCTTTGACTTCTGGTCAATGCCCAGGCATCAGCTGATTTGCTATATCCTAGGCATGGCTCTAATTACAAAATATATGTCCTTTCAGAGATAGTTAAACATGAATTTAAAATCTGAAACCCAAATTTTTAAAACTAAATTGTATCTGTGCACCTGTTCCTGAAAACTGTTAAAACTGAATCCACCTTTGTCAAGCCTAGCAGTTTCAATTTATTCATGTTAAATCATTAACATTACCATACAGAGACTAAGCTGAATGCAAAAAAAAAAAACAAAACCCTCATACATATTGAAGAAATGACTCACATCATTCCCAGACTCATCTACTATTGGGTTTTGATTTTACCTGTGAAAAAATGCAAAGTTACCTTCAGGTCTTACACTTCAGAAAACCAAGAACTCAAGAGGTTCCCAGTTCTGCTGATGATTTAGACAGCTAAATAGATAGCTCAAAAAAGTGGACAATGTCAAACTGACTGCTCCCACAATGATCTTTGATAAATGTACTGGCATTTCTCTAAATTCCTGCTCCATTCCACAAAAATAAGTGATATCTAATTAACCTTTCTGTCTCCAATCTGTTTTTCCAAGTGAAAAAAGTAATTAACCCTTCTGGCTCCAATCTGTTTTTTTCAAGTGAGATAGGTAATTAAACCCTTCCCTCTCCAATCTGTTTTTTCCCTTCTAAATAGCGTGCTCTTTCTCTTAACTCCCATCACATTAACAAAAAAAAGGGGGGGAGGGGGATATTTGATGGAACTAGAATAATAACGACTGAGTTATACATCACTTTAAGGTTTTCAAAGTGCTTTCTGATCTTCACAACAACCTTGTGAGGTAAGTGCTAGTTCTGTTTTCAGATGAGAAAACTGAAGCCTGAGAGGCAGGACTTTAGGGATAATCTAGTCCAACCTCCCTCATTTTGCAGGTGAGGAAACTGAGGTCTGAGAAGTGCCCTGAGACATCAGCTTGTCCCACCTCCTCATTGTGTAGACCAGGAAACTGAAGCCCAGCAAAAATGATGGGGTTGGAGTCGAAGGTACATTACAAATCTAAATCTTTGTTGTTGTCGTCCTATACTAAAAGTGAAATGAATAGCCCAAAGTCACCCAATGACTTGGTGGTAAGGGCCAAACTAGAATCCAGGTCTCCCGCCAATGCCCTCTCTATTACAACTCAAAAGAAACAGCTTTAGGGGGGAAAAGCAACATTATCGGGGTTTTCTCAGCATGCAACACTCCCAAGTCCCAATGCAATGTCAGTTTTCTTAGGGTCCAACTTCTGCCCCTCCGTCCATCACGCGCTCTCCCTGGCAGCAGCCCTTCGCCCCTCCGTCCTGCCAGGCGGCTGCCCCAAGGTCACGGTCACGGAGGGGGCGCTCCAGCCGCACCCGTGCCCGACCCCCACCCCCAGACGTCCCCCCTCCTCCTGGGGCGGGGGCTGGGGGGGAACGGGGGGGAACGGGACTACGAAGCCGCCGACGCCGTCTCAGCAGCAGCAGCCTCCCTTCCTTCCTTCCCACCCGCCTCCCGGGTGGGTCCCGGCGGGAGCAGCACTCACCGGCACTGGGGGCGGGCGGGATGCGGCTACCCATTTCCTCCAGCCTCCCTGCTGGGCGGCGGCGGCGGCGGCGGCAGCGGCCGAACCAAGGCGAACCAAGAGCGGAGCACGCGCCCCTCGCCGCCGACACCCCCCCCCTCCCCTGCAGCGGGAAGCGCCGGCCAATCGGCTCGCGTCTAGCTGCCTCAGACCCAGCGCGTGCCAGCACCCCCAAACCCCCCCCCGGGGGGTTCGCTCCTAGGCGTCTCGAGACCCGCCCCGGACCCACAGCGCGCGCCGGAGCCAAGCGGTTTCCGGGAGCCCGTTGCCTGGACGCGGTTGCTTGGCAGCCCGAAGTGGAGGCTTTCCCCGCCAACCCCAGCCCCTGACAGGTTGCACTGCCCCTCCTCCCTCCCGTTCCCACACCGAAAATAGCCTCCCCTAGTCGTCGCTGTTGTCCCCCCCCCACCCCCACCCCCCACCGAGCTCCCCGTAGCTGACGGGGCGGGGATTTCTCCTGTAGGAAAATAAATCCCAGAGGTGGAGCGGGCTGAGCCGCAGGGAAGGATGCAGCGCCGCGTGGCCCGTAAAAATAATAATTATTGCCCTTTAAAAACCAACAACAACAACAACCCACACTGGGGGAGAAAGGCTTGCTATGATTGGACCCGTAGCTCTGACCCTCCGACTAGTAAGCAGTGGTCACGCCTCACCTGAGCAAGGTGAATGAATACTTAGTGCAGGAGGAGGAAAGGGGGAGTTCATGAATTACCTTTCAATCCGCGGCTGAGACTGGAGTTCGTTACTTCCCTAGACAGTGCCTCACTTAGTCTGCATCCTTTACTTTGCACGCCCTTCAGCAGGAGATGCTCGCACCTCCGTCGGATGTGGGTTCTCTTCAGAATTCATTCTTCTGTCTTTTGACTGCCTCCTTCCAATGCCCCCACCCCCTACCAAACCCTTTCCAGACTTCTGTCTGTATTTTGTGTTCCGAGGGTGATGCACGAGGCAACCCACTTTATACATCTACAAATCTTACTGGCATTGCACCTATCAGCAGCATCCTTTTCAAAAGCAATCACCACAGGGCATAGAATCATAGGTATAGAGCTAGAAAAGATCTTACAAGTCTTTTAGTTCAAGCCCTCATTTTATAGGTAAAGAAATAGAGGCCCAGAGAAATTGAATGACTTGCACAGTTAACAGAGAGACTGAGACAGAGACAGACAGACAGAGACAGAGACAGAGATTTTTTCTTTTTATGCTATTTTTAAAGAACTCTCTACTCACATAGCTTCCTATATGAAGAAAATTCATCTGTATTTTGGATGATATTGCCATTGAATAATAATACTTATTATAAAATACTAACAGTAATATTAAGTATTAACTCTACTGCATATATAAATGTATGCAGTATTGTTTTCAGGGAATATAAGCTACATTATTAGCTAACCACAACATAAGAAAGTTTAGGGAAAAGGTTTCTACCAGAAGATATCCATAATAAAACAATTTTTTAAGAGTACAGCCTCACTGACAATTAAGGAAATGCAAACTAAAACAAGTTTAAGATATTATACTCCTGTTACACTAATAAAAAATAAAATAAGCATAGGTCCTGAAGTCAGGAGGACCTGAGTTCAAATCCAGCCTCAGACCAAACACTTGCACTTACTAGCTGTGTGACCCTGGGCAAGTCACTTAACCACAATTGCTTAAAAAAAAAAAAGAAAGAAAGAAAAGACAAAAAGAAAATAACATTATAAAATCCAATAATGGTGGGAGAAATAGGTAAACTACTGGTGGTGGCAATGTAACATATTGCCAGATTGCTCTTCAGAAAATGTTAAATCTCCTGTATTACTTTGAGCAATGGAGAAAAGAAGACTATCTTGAAGGCATTTGCAGAAGTAGTCAAGTGTGAGTGAGTCTTTTTGTAAGAGAGGGAGCCAAGGAAATGTAAGAATACCAGTGAAAAAGATACTGCAGAAGTCCAACCTAGAGTACGTAAAGGCTGATTATATGGGGGTGGGAGAGAAGAAAAGAGAAGAATCAAAGATATAGTACAGAGATCTCAATCATAGCTATCTGGGAGGATGGTGGTATAGCTTTCTTAGGTCCAGAAATAAGTTCTCACTTTATAACAAAAATTTGCAAAAAGGGCATTCAAGAATCATTAAGGCCATGAACCAGGCCAATTAAGGTCAAGTACACAAAGGAAAGCTGGAAGAATCAAGTTCACAGTGCCAAGGGACAATAATTGTTCCTGCTGCCCCAGGCCTGCTTTTCCTTGCCAGCTGGCACTCAATAGGTAGTCTCTGCTCCAGTGCCATCACAGCTGCTGGAAGTGTACAGGTGGTGACAGAAATAGGAAATTCAGGGGAAGAGCAGGTTTTGAGGGGGACGACGAAATTTGAGCAGTTCTGAGGGATGATGAGATGCAGGGTGTGGCTTTGTGTATATGACTAGCATAGTGGAGTAGAGATGAAGGTTTTTGGAGTTGAGAAGGAGGAGAAACTGAATAACTATTAACATGGCAAGTATGTGTACTATGTCAATACATGGAAATGTGTATATGAATTAATATTTCCACACTTCTGGGGATCTAATCTATGCATCATTGTGCATACACTCTCAACCAGTATTAAGTTCTAACCTCTCTGTGCCCTGTCATTGTCTTTAATTCTTGTTCATTCCATTCTGTAAGTTCTCCAGAGAGGATCTGCCCAATGTACTTCAAGATCTCCCTCTTGCTTTTTTTATTTTATGGCTAGCAGTGTAACCCTCAGACTTAGTATCTGTTATCCCTCACTTCTGCTTTAGAATTGACCTACCTCCTTTTCTGTCTTCTATCAAAGACACAGCATGTCTTTGATAATGTCTGTTATGCCGCTTATTAAATGAATCATTGGTAATATGTTCAATGCTGGATTTCAGGCATAAGCTAGTTAAGTAATGCTACAATTTAGGACCTTGCATTATTATTACACCCAAATGCAACAAAGATAAAAGTTAAAAAGATTTATCATAAAGGATATCAAAATAATAAATAGTGGGGCAGCTAGATGGCGCAGTGGATAGAGCACCAGCCCTGGATTCAGGAGGACCTGAGTTCAAATCTGGCCTCAGACACATAACACTTACTAGCTGTGTGACCCTAGGCAAGTCACTTAACCCCATTGCCTAGCCAAAAAAAAAAATTAATAATAATAATAAATAGCTTAGTACTCCAGTATGTATTTGTCCAGTCATGAATATTCTGCAGCCCACTTGTATTTATCATTCTTTTCATTTCCTTTCGGGCCACCTGAGATTTTGATTCTTTAAGGGCTGTAGTTTTCCACAATTATTAGCCATGTAACATCACTCTTAGAATATTGATACTAAAATATGAAATAATGCTAAAGGGGAAAAGTAGACCATATAATAATTGGAAAAAGACTTGAAATTATGTAAAAAGAATTTAACTTTGGTAGATTTTTTGTTCTGGGTATTTTGTTTATGCTGTATTTACTGGTGTGTGTGTACGTGTATAAAATTGCTTTAAGTTCATGCTTACATTCTAATGGATTCACAATCTCATCAGTATGTGTGTTTTCTCCATTGGTGTAGATTGCAACACATCCAATACTTCTTCTCTGGTGCAGTTCTTGCCATGGAACTTTCATAGAGGCCTTCCTGTAGGTCTTCTTACATTTTGTGAGTACCAATATGACATTCAGACTGTCCACCCATCCATCCCTCATTCTTGCTACATAACTGGCCCATTTCTTTTTCCAATCATACATTTTTCTGTAGAATATACCTTAACTCTATTGTGCCTCAGTCCTCAATGGGAATTTAAGTCAACTTAAGTTCATGACATGTTTTTCCATCCATCTATCTATGTGATATGCATGTGTCCATTTCATGGTCTGCCTTGTAAATTAGTCATGATGAGGTCAATATTTACAAATAAAAAGTAGCAACTGAGAAAAAAGACAGATGCCTCCTACTTGAACATCAGCTGGAGCTCTAGCTACCAAAAACACAGATGCCAAGACATTTTTTAATAATAATATTTTATTTTCCCCAATTGCATGTTAAAGTAATTTTTATCATTTTTAAGTTTTGAGTTCCATATTCTGTCTCTCTATTTCTTCCTCCCTTTCTTTCTTCCCTGAGATGGTGAGCAATTCTATATAGATTATACATGTTTAGTCATGTAAAACATTTCTATATTATTCATTTTGTACAAGAAGACTCAAATAATAAAAAGGTGAAAAATAGAATGCTTTAGTCTGTATTCAGACATCAGTTCTTTCTCTGGAGGCAGATAGCATGTTTTAACATGAGTCCTTTGGGATTACCTTGGATCATTGTATTGCCGAGAATAGCTAAGTCATTCACAGTTCTTCATCATACAGTATTGCTTTTGTTGTCCACAACGTTCTCCTGGTTCTCCTCACTTCACTTTGCATCAGTTCATGTAAGTCTTTTCAGGTTTTTATGAAATCATACTATTTGTCATTTCTTATAGATGCCAAGACATTTGATGATATTACAACTATAACTGTAAACTTGCAGATTCCGAAAAGCAAGCTGAAAGTATACAAACTTATTAAAATAAGTATATCCACTGATCCAATAATTCCAATGATAACATTAAAAAAAAAAAACCTCTGATAAGTGCTATCCAAAAGAAGGTATCTGTTCGAAAATGTTCATAGTAATTGCAAAAATTGGAAACAACCTATCACTAATATGGGACTTGTTAAATGGTGGCACATTAATGTAATGCAATATTGTAACAAAACTAACAAGTATGAGAAATACAAAGAAATCTAGAAAGAATTTTATGAAATAATATAAAATGAAAAAAGCAGAACTAGGAGACTGTTTAGATTATATACAAACTATAACCATATAGAGAAAAAGTAAATTAGGATGAACGAACAAAGAAACCTAATAGTAACTTAAAGGAAATTATTGAAAAATTCTTATATTTTATATGTTGAGATTAATTTATATGTAAATAGCTATTCATCATACTTGTTGACTACATTTGTGTTCAGTGTCAAGTTTTCAATAAAACATTTACTTTA